AATAGGGATCAAATCTAGTTATTTCGAGCGATGCAGTAAGCTTTCAACATTTTGACTACTGAGTTGGTATCCAATGGTTCATATTTTCAACTTCAGTAAATTATCAATATTGTTGAATCATCATTGGTTGTCATAAAATTATAACTGTCTCACACCTGATATAGTTAAGTTCCACTGGTGAAGTCTTCTCACTAGGACTCAGGGAATAACTTGTCGAAATTACTCAATAATAAAAACATGAAAAACTACGAAATTCAATCAGTCATGATAGTAATCTTCTCTCATATTAAAGAAGAAAAGAAACTGTTAATTCACCGTATCATAATGAAATAATGTTGTAGTTAAATAATCCATTAAGTAAGCCCCCATTTTAACATACATAAATTTGAAATATATATAACTGAGTTAATGAGTTTAGACGCTTCCTAACTTGATGAAGGTTGACTATCATGTCCGTTGAAAACGTCAGTGTCTATATGAACTCAGTAACTCGGTGAATAACATTTTGGGTTTTTGAAGTGAAAGATACTTTGTTTGAGTTTTAGTGTGAATATCGACATTCCTCGAATATATCTATCATATTTAATAAATAGATGCTGAAAGAACACTGGTATGAGTAAGTTATCTCTAAGCCTTGTGCATTGAACATCTAATTCACTTGTAAATTGTAAATTTGTATATCAATTTACACTGAATTATTCCAAGATGTGTGTTAAAGATCTATTATGTCAAATGTTCTACATAGTTTTTCTGATATGTATTTGTTCATAGAAATTAAGTTATTTCTGTCAATTTTTTAAACAATACCCTTTTAACTCTGATAAAGTGAAATTGGATTGATTTTTAATAATAAGGGGGGAGGTATTGAAAGGAAGGATGTATTAAGTAAGTGTTTGATTCTAATATGGGACTCAGCAGTCCACATCCACAACCCAAACTAAGGACCGAACCTAGGATCTTTACGTCTCTCGATGAGCTCTTAATATTAGAACCACTTGATCAGAGTACAACAGGACAATTTCAATTTCCGTCAACTAACGATCTAGCCTGATGAACATCTAATCCCATTTATAAAAACTGTATAATAAATCAAACAAAATATTACTAAATAAGCCAGTGCTTTTAACTAAGAATCTTACAGCTTTACATTATGGACTAACTTTAGTTAAACAACAATCGAAAACCAGGAAGCATTAGATAACACTTTTATTCTAGTATGAGACTACACAACAGTGAGCATTCACGACTCTAATAGGGATCAAATCTAGTTATTTCGAGCGATGCAGTAAGCTTTCAACATTTTGACTACTGAGTTGGTATCCAATGGTTCATATTTTCAACTTCAGTAAATTATCAATATTGTTGAATCATCATTGGTTGTCATAAAATTATAACTGTCTCACACCTGATATAGTTAAGTTCCACTGGTGAAGTCTTCTCACTAGGACTCAGGGAATAACTTGTCGAAATTACTCAATAATAAAAACATGAAAAACTACGAAATTCAATCAGTCATGATAGTAATCTTCTCTCATATTAAAGAAGAAAAGAAACTGTTAATTCACCGTATCATAATGAAATAATGTTGTAGTTAAATAATCCATTAAGTAAGCCCCCATTTTAACATACATAAATTTGAAATATATATAACTGAGTTAATGAGTTTAGACGCTTCCTAACTTGATGAAGGTTGACTATCATGTCCGTTGAAAACGTCAGTGTCTATATGAACTCAGTAACTCGGTGAATAACATTTGGGTTTTTGAAGTGAAAGATACTTTGTTTGAGTTTTAGTGTGAATATCGACATTCCTCGAATATATCTATCATATTTAATAAATAGATGCTGAAAGAACACTGGTATGAGTAAGTTATCTCTAAGCCTTGTGCATTGAACATCTAATTCACTTGTAAATTGTAAATTTGTATATCAATTTACACTGAATTATTCCAAGATGTGTGTTAAAGATCTATTATGTCAAATGTTCTACATAGTTTTTCTGATATGTATTTTGTTCATAGAAATTAAGTTATTTCTGTCAATTTTTTAAACAATACCCTTTTAACTCTGATAAAGTGAAATTGGATTGATTTTTAATAATAAGGGGGGAGGTATTGAAAGGAAGGATGTATTAAGTAAGTGTTTGATTCTAATATGGGACTCAGCAGTCCACATCCACAACCCAAACTAAGGACCGAACCTAGGATCTTTACGTCTCTCGATGAGCTCTTAAATATTAGAACCACTTGATCAGAGTACAACAGGACAATTTCAATTTCCGTCAACTAACGATCTAGCCTGATGAACATCTAATCCCATTTATAAAAACTGTATAATAAATCAAACAAAATATTACTAAATAAGCCAGTGCTTTTAACTAAGAATCTTACAGCTTTACATTATGGACTAACTTTAGTTAAACAACAATCGAAAACCAGGAAGCATTAGATAACACTTTTATTCTAGTATGAGACTACACAACAGTGAGCATTCACGACTCTAATAGGGATCAAATCTAGTTATTTCGAGCGATGCAGTAAGCTTTCAACATTTTGACTACTGAGTTGGTATCCAATGGTTCATATTTTCAACTTCAGTAAATTATCAATATTGTTGAATCATCATTGGTTGTCATAAAATTATAACTGTCTCACACCTGATATAGTTAAGTTCCACTGGTGAAGTCTTCTCACTAGGACTCAGGGAATAACTTGTCGAAATTACTCAATAATAAAAACATGAAAAACTACGAAATTCAACAATCTCCAAAATTCCTTGAACTAAGTTGTTCAAAAATCCGCCATTAGTTACAAAAGGTCGGATATAATCACCAATATATCTCTAGATGCAACGACTGAAATTTTTAAAGAGTAAATATTCTAATCTAATAAACATAGTTAGACGCTTTTGAGTCAAGAGTTTGATAGTTTTATTCCATCATTATGGTGATTTGTGGAGATTGCAGTATTTTAACAGTTGAATTCACGAGTCAATCAATAATGGTGTAGCTTAGATTGACTCGTGAATTCAATCATTAAAATAATACAATCTCTACAAATCCCTACAATAATAATAATAATAATAATCATATGCTCACTAGTGACTAGCTTTAAAATGAATTTACTGGAGTTCTAGTGAGAAATCGTGACAATTGAAGTTCAACCTGTGTCGAGTGTGATACAGTTATCCACCTTAGACAATGGATGAAGTGTTGTGCAAGATCATAGATCGCTTGGAATTAAATATTAACACCGTTGACGGTTCACTGGTCTAGAGGTTAAGTGTCCGCGCGCGAGATCGAAGGTTCTGGGTTTGAGTCCCACATAAGCGATCGTGAATGCACACTGTTGATGAGTCTCATCCTGGGACGAAACAACCGTCCATTGCTTCAAGGTTTTCAATTTTCGTCTAGTTTTATCTTAGTTTTAACGGATAAATCAGAAAAAACAAGACTATTTTATATACTTTAAATTTAAGTGACTATATTGAATATACAACATTTTAAGCAAACACTTATAATTGTTATTCAGTGAAAATAAAACTTCTAGTTCAATATTTAACAGTTTTGAGTAGAGAAGTTTGGGTGAGTTCATATCCTATTCAGGACTTATTAAAAGTCATAGTTCTTGAGAATATCAATTAGACATAATAGTAAACCAGTGTAAATCGATTTTCGAATCCATTACATCAGTTTAATCAGCTTAATAAAGAATAATTTAACTAGTTTTAAGCAGCATCGCTGTTATGCTGGTTGTCTGAAGGAAACATCTTACTGCTGTCACACCTCTGTACAGTCAGCAGTACGACTTCACCTTCGGACCTTGGGTTTGTTGCTTTTAGTCTTACCGCTCTTCAACCGACCTGTCTAACATGGTAGGACCTTGAGGAACGGTTGTTCCAGCCAGTATAGCTCAATTGCTTCATCACGATAGGCAAGCCTGACTACCACGTCAAGGTAGCAACAACGGTCGGGACTAATTACTCACTACTAGTTAATCTCTGTAAGTAAGATGAACATACATTTGTACAGCTTCTTCATATAATCCAATATAAAAAATGGAAATAGATTTTTTATTAAAAAAATTATCATCTCTAACCGATAGGAACTGGAGGATAATTCACCAACAAAAATATAATGAGCGGTTACTTTTTCCCTATTTCCAGATTCATTGAAGACTGAAGAAATAGATTGTTAGATTTAAAAATTTTGACTGATGGTGTCAAGTCTACTGGGAATATCTTTGGTTCAGTCTTATCCATGATTGAGAATACTATACTTACGAATACCAATATTTAATAAAAACAATTGCCCCGTCAATTCTTAGTTTCTAGGGGTTCCAAATGTAATTACATGATTGTTTTCTTTGAAATGATCAATTCTACACAAAAATACAACTGTCAGTATGAGGTTTTGCAGATTGTCGAATTTCATTAAAATCATTAAGCAATATAATTTGGACATGCACTGAAAACCAAGGAGTACTGAATATCTGTTACCTCTTTGTGTAGGACTTCTCAACAGTCGATACACACGACGCTGCAACAGGTAATCGAATCCAGAACCTTTGGTCTTGTGCTCGAATGTTTAACCTATAGACCACCAAGGTGGGATCTAATGGTGTACAAGTCTAACTTCAATCAATCCACAATATTGCGTGGCAATACTTCGCTATCTTCGGAGATACTTTCCTCATATTCACCACTGTTGAACTTCACTAAAACTTCAGAAAATTTCTTTCAAAGCCAGATACCAGTGAGCACATGATGCAGGGTCGCGAATTCCCACTGATTAGGAGTTCTATACCGGAACAAAATGGCTGTCCATTACTTTCAAGTTTTGAGTGATTATCTTACTTATAATGGTTTGTGATTTCCATTCACATGCCATGTTTAAAGACCTATAGTCCAATGTTCAGATTTTACTGACTGAGATGTTACTATAAGCTGACAAAACTAATAACAAGCTAAACTATAAAAACTTTTTAATTTTTACATTTTAGGGTTGTCGAGATCGATTGATCAAATTATCAACACAGATACATAATACATGGGCTAAACAAGATGTTATTTTACGAGTGATACGTTCTTGGGTTAAACCGCCACCAAATTACAAACCTCTTCCACAAGATGATAATGTAGAAGATAATCATGAAGACTCACCATTACTTTATGAGAAAAACTCTAAACTGGAAAAAGTTTCAAATGGTCGTAATCCAGTATTTGTGGGTAATTCACCAACAGTTTTTTCTGGTCAAAGAGCATTACCATTTGTACCAGTTAAATCAAGACAATTTCTTGATGCACCAGTTATAGATATGACACCAGAAATGATGGATGGTGAATTCATTCAAATCAATTCTCATTCAAATAAGTTGGAACACAATCGAAAAATTTAAAATTTAATCAATTTATTCCATCATCAAAAAGTATTTCAACACAAACTAATCGTTGGCCTTCAACAAAAAATAATCCAAATTATATCACACATCTTTCTTCTTTACCAAGATCATCTTTTTCATCATATCCAACACAAAATCCTCATTCACATCAATCATTGTCGTCACCAACATCATCATCATCATCATCATCATCATCATCATCATCATCAGCATCAACATCATCTGGATATTTTTTCAATCCAAACAAAGTTTCATCATCATTACTAGATTCTTCATATGATACGATGATTCGATTGCCAAGACATGTTTTACTTAAACAATCAAATATGACAATTTATCGTTTAAATCAAACAATGAATGAAATTCATTCATCTAATCGAAGTGATAAAGTATTACATAAATTAGTTGAACGTTCAATTAATACAATCTATACATCCAATAATGATCGGAAACATCGTAATTATGATTATCATTCTAATCAAAATCATTTAATCACTAATAATAATAATAATAAATTAAATGAATTACGTATGGAAGAATTTCATTATGCTGGTAGAGCTGTAGATATGGAATTAATTACACGACAATATGGTAGACCACATAATTCAGATTTACATTTAGGTGTATTAGCACAAATAGCATATTATGTAGCACATTTTGATTGGTGTTTTTTTAATCGTGCTGGTCATGTACATTGTTCTGTTAAACCTGGTTAGTTAATTAATATTATATAATTAATGAATTATTTTTGATTGAGATCATGAACTGATTGATGTTAGACTACTATTGAAAATCTGGAAGTACTGGACGACAGTGTTGTCCTATTGTGGGACTCTTCAGCAATGAGCATCCATGATCCCGCTTGTGGAACTTGAACCAAGGACCTTCAGTTTCGCATGCGAACGCTTAACCTACTGAACCACTGAACCGGCATCCAATGGTGTTAATGTCTAACCTCAACCAATCTACGTAATTGCGCAACCATCTTCCATTGTACTGATGTTATATGATTAATTAATTATTTATTTATTTTGCTTTTATTTAGAGATTATAAATGGTGTATTAACTTTTTTAAAATGACACTTATAAATTCCCCCCTGATTAATACAAATTTTCAGTTTGGGGTTGTAGAGATTGTTGAGTTTTGATCGATATCATAAATGGATGAATGTTAGACCACCGTTGGAAAACCTATAAGCATCAGACGACTGTTTCGTCTAGTATGGGACTTCTCAGCAGTGCGCATACACGATCCCTTATGTGGGACTCGAATCCAGGATTTTCGATCTCATGCGTGAGTGCTTAATCTCTAGACCACTGAGTCAGCATTTAACAGTGTTAAAGTCTAACTTCTACCAATCCACGATATTACGCGACCGTCCACTATTGTCTTCAGCGAGTAACTGCCTCCCAAAAGATGCGGTAGAACTCCACTAGTGACGGCTTCTCACTAGAACTCCATGAAATTCATCTTGAAGTCAGTCACTAGTGAGCACATGTTAATTATCAGTATAGGGTTGCGAAGTTTGTTGAGTTAGACGTTTGAGCGTGAGACCGAAGGCCATGGGTTCGAGTCCCACGTGAGGGGCCATGGATGTGTACTGCTGAGGAGTCCCGCACTGGAAAGAAACGGTCATCCAGTGCTTCTAGGTTTTCACTGAAGGTGTAACATTGGTCGATTCATGATCCCAATAGGAAAGATAGTTCACTGAAGGTGATTTCATATATGTAAGTATTAGGTCATCAGAGAGTTCGATTTCTTTTTCATTAGTGAACTATGCTGTTTGTTTATTAACTTCACTTACAGTAAAATACGTTAAAGTTTTTACCATGTTCTAAGATTATAATAAGATAGTTATGTATCATTTTCAAGTCCACAATATTCTTTAATCTATCTATTTGGTTGACGACCAACTCAATAAAACAATCTTAGTAATGAGCATATTTTACCAGTAATGTGTTACATCAAATTGTAATGTATTGTGAATAATAGACATGATATTGTATGACATTTTGAAAAAGACACATAGAAGGCCAGCTAACTTAATTACCTCGGTTTTGGTTAAATCTTGTAAAAAAACTGAATAGGTAAATCCTTGAAGCTGTTCCAAGAGACTTATCTAGTGCACATCTTTATGTAATTTGCAATGTGATAACATATACAAATAAGTGATAAGAAACTAGACAGCAAATATACATCTTTTCTATCTTTAAGAAAATGAGATTACACATTTGTAATATTACTTGGTATGATTATAAGCGAGTAATTGTAGCCATCCAATTATTTGTTTCAGAATCCAAGTATGTGTTCATATGTTTCATATGTTATGCAACAACTAAGAGAGGAAGAAATTGAAAGGATTTTGACCAGAAAACAAAACAGTTGGTTCAAGTGAAAAACTACACTGATCTATTAATCAACTGTAGAGTAAATTCAATAGATAAGCATTCCTATAAAATTCTTTATTATGGTTTAAGAAAAAAATTTGTTTATCAATAGTCAGTAATTTAGTAGTTGAATTCATGAGTCGATTAAAGTTAAATCATGATTGAAAACCTAGAAGCACTGGATGGTCGTTTCGTCCTAGCATGAGACTTCTCAGCAGTGCATATCCCGCGAGGGAGATCGTGAATGCATACTGCTCCTCAGTCCCATACTAGGATGAAACGACCGTCCAATGCTTCTAGGTTTTCAATGGTGGTCTAGCTTTAACCGACTCATGAATTCACCGATGAAACTTACTACAATCTCTACAAAATCTCCTTTCTAATAAATCAGTAAGTCAGCAATTAAATAAATTTTCATTTTGGAAAATATAATAACCCATTAATTAACACTGAAATTAAGCATAAAAATTGATTCCACTGGTTGAAATCATGAGTCAATTGAAACTAGACCATCATGGAAAACCTGGAATTACTGGACGGCCGTTTCGTTCTAGTATGGGACTCCCCAGCAGTGCGCACCCACTATCCCGCTCCCCGCGGGATTCGGACCCAGGACCTATCAGTCTCGCGCCAGGAGCTTAACCAACTAGACCACTGAGCCGACCGGCATCCAACGGTGTTAATGTCTAACTTCAACCAATCCAAAATTGATTTATCTCAACAAGACAGTATAACGTGTGTAGTAGAAAATTTGGCGAAAATATTGAACATTAAATATACGCAAACAAACATTAGTCTAAATAGAACTTTTACTCTATTCTCTCTATTCTTTACCTACCATGTAGACTTATTCTAAAGATAAAAAAGGAGTTGCCGAAAGACATAAAATATAAAATTTAAAACGATCTGGTAAATTATAATTTATATGAGTATTTTTGTAATTTTCTGGATGATTATTTATGAAATGTTTAGCGGGGCCATTCATTTTGACGTCAATTCGATTGAACGATGTTATCGACGGTGGCCTGATATTTGACTCGTATGAATGTTGTTGATATATATATGTCGGTTATCCTCGTATAGAATTATCGACTTAAACCGCGTTAGCGAATGACGAAATTAAATAAGTCAAATATTGAGAATGAAATTTTGAATACGTATATTTTGTACACATTGATCTGGACAAAGAATCAAAGAGACAAAGTGAAAGAAGCGAAAAGAAGAGAGCGAAGCGAAATGGCGCTCAGTGGAGAAGGCATGTGAGCTAACTCTATTTCATCAGATGTTAATCAATATTTATAGTCAGATAAAAATAGATTACAAACATGTGATGAATAGGATAAGAAGTGCACATACATACACTCATATAAAAACAGTCAAGATTGATAAGCGAATAACATGAATCACGAAGAATGGATAAGTTGGCCTATTCCGAAGCTAGAATAAGTCATATGAATTTAATATAACAACCGGCACTACAAATACATCAGAACTTATCAACAACTATTGAGAAGACTTAAAAAGAAGAATATGTTGTTAATATTAATTTTAGTGAACTGGGAATTGAAAGAATAGATCATCATATTTCTCAAATGATTCAATATTAAAACTATAAAGATTTAAACATACTTAGTAACCGTGAGATTGTTTATTTAATGGGTGGTCATTATTAAAAAAGAATTGTAAAACTAAGTAAATCTTATTTTCAATGGTTAAGATCATGAGTCAGTTGAAGCTAGACCACCATGGAAAACCTGGAAAACCATGGAAAACCAGTGCAATTCAATCAGGTCTGTTGTGAGATAGTAACTCACTGAAGACAATGGTGGATGTGTAGCTGAATTTCGTGGATTAGTTAAAGTTAGACATTAACACCGCTGGATGCCGTCCAGACCAGTGGTCCAGTGGTTAAGTGCCCGCACGCGAGACTGATCGGTCCTGGGTTCGAAACTCGCGGGGGGCGAGGTCGTAGATGCGCACTGCTGAGGAGTCCCACAATGGGACGAAACGGCCGTCCAGTGCTTTCAGGTTTTCCACGGTGTTCTAGCTTTAACTGACTCATGATCTTAACCATTGAAATTACTATAATATCCACAAAACCCATCTGATATAAATCTTATTTATTAAAATAATATATTCATGAAGAATATGAACTGATAACAATTATTGAAGTTTATTTTATGAACTTGTGTTAACCATGTAGGTGATATAAAATGAATCATAAATCAATATTTATATTATTTATGTACGAATTAAAAACTGGTTATAATTGAGTAACAGTTTTTTAGACGAAATATGTTGAAGATGTGGTTGTGAATTAATGAAGAAAATAAATTTATATCCGTATTTCCTGTGTAACTTCCATTAAACTATAATACATTCTTATAGTTGAAATCACGAATTGATTTAAGTTAGACCACCATTGAAAACTTGGAAACACTGAACAGCCGTTTCGTCTTATAATATTACTTTTTAGAAGTGCATATCCACTATCTTTTAAGCGTAGACATTAACACCATTGGATCCTGACTAAATAGTCTAGAGGTTGAGCAATCGTGCGCGATACTATCGATCCCAAATAATCGTGGATAAGCACTTTTGAGGAGTTCCATACTAAGATGGAACAGCCGTTCAGTGATTTCACTGGTGGTCTACCATAGATTAACTCCGCAAACCTCAATACTATCATAATACATTCGTTTATAATTCATCCACTTTAAATAAATAGGAATAAATAATAGTGTATGTAATATTTCAAATCATTCTAAAATTATATAACTAAACTTATTTGTTAAATTCGTGAGTCAATTGAAGCTAGATCACCATGGAAAACCTGGAAGCACTGGACGGCCGTTTCATCCTAGTATTGGACTCCTCAGCAGTGCGCATCCATGATCCCGCCCTCCGCGATATTCGAACCCAGGATCTATCAGTCTCGCGCCAGGCTCTTAACCAACTAGACCACTGAGCCGACCGGCATCCAACGGTGTTAATGTCTAACTTCAACTAATCCACGAAATTGAACGACACATCCACCATTGTCTTCAGTGAGTTACTACTTCACAACTGACCCGGTCGAACGTCACCAGTCACTACTTCTCACTAGAATTTCAATGCTTCCAGGTTCTCCATAGTGGTCTAGCTACAATTGACTCATGAATTCAACAATTAAACTATTATCATATCCACAAAAAATTATTTTTTTAATTTTTCTTTTTAGATTCTATTGTTACATCTCAATGGTTTGGTTGTTTTCCTAGTGAATCAAAAGTATATAAATCAAATGGTCAATTAATATCAATGAAAGATTTAAAAATTGGTGATTATATTATAACACAAAATCCAATAAATGGTCATATAACAAATACATTAGTTTTTGGTTTCCTTGATTATGATCAACATGCATGGAGTCCATTAATAGAAATTAAATATCAAATTCATTCAAATTTAATACGACAACAACAACGAGAACAAGACCACCACCACCACCACCACCACCAACAACAACAACAACAAGAACAACAACAAAATAGTATTTATTTAACTGAAGATCATTTAATTTTTATATATGATAATACTACTATGGTAAATAGTAATAATAATACCATAATGATGAATAAGAAAGCTGTATTTGCATCGACTGTTAAAAAAGGTCAAATCATTTTTGTTTATCATCATCATCCTCATCATCTTCATCATTCAAATGAATTAATCCAAGCAGAAATTATATCAGTTGAATTAAGAAATTCTTTATTGATTAATCATACACAATATGAAAATCGATATAAAATTGGTCTGTATGCACCAATTACTGATACTGGTACAATGATTGTAGATAATGTTTTAGTATCATGTTTTGCTTATATATCTAATCATCAATTAGCATCATTTATTATATCACCATGGAAATTAATTTATCAATTATTATTCTATATAAATAGATTTATTAAATTATTTCAATATAATGAATATAATGATGAAATAGATTCAATCAATTCAAATGGTATACCATGGTTTATTCAATGGATTTATAAATTCATGTATGAAATTTTACCTGATTCACAGTTTTATAAAAGTACATCTTTGATTTAAATATTAACCAAATAGCATTTATATATGAAATATATAACAATGTATCACAACGTAAATCTATCTATCTAACCTAATCTATCTATCTAACCTAATCTATCTATCTAACCTAACCTAACCTAACCTAATCTATCTATCTATCTATCTATCTATCTATCTATCTATCTATCTATCTATCTATCTATCTATCTATCTATCTATCTATCTATCTATCTATCTATCTATCTATCTATCTATCTATCTATCTATCTATCTATCTATCTATCTATCTATCTATCTATCTATCTATCTATCTATCTATCTATCTATCTATCTATCTATCTATCTATCTATCTATCTATCTATCTACCTATCTATCTATCTATCTATCTATCTATCTATCTATCTATCTATCTATCTATCTATCTATCTATCTATCTATCTATCTATCTATCTATCTATCTATCTATCTATCTATCTATCTATCTATCTATCTATCTATCTATCTATCTATCTATCTATCTATCTATCTATCTATCTATCTATCTATCTATCTATCTATCTATCTATCTATCTATCTATCTATCTATCTATCTATCCTTCATTATTGTATCTATGGAAATTATAATTCGAATGAATTTTACATTCGATTTTAAATATATCGTTTTATTCTTTCAAATGTTTTGTAAACAAACTCTGAATAGATAAGTTAAAATACTTGTCAAAACATTATAATTCGTTAAAGATTGGATAAATTGCTTCTTTAGTTAATGATCATAAATATCGGACTGCAAAAGTTATAATTCATGGATTGTAAATGTTTATACATTCACATAAAGACTATAAATATCATTTATTTGCATATTCATAATGGAAATACCATTTCCATCAGTATTAGTGTTTATTAAATACACTGAAATTTGCATTAGTACTAAGTTATACATATAAATATTCATTTAATGGACACATGGAAGAGAAATATTTATAAATGAAGGAATGAATCAATCTAATACCTCATATTCATAAGAGTATATCTTTTCATGAATCGAAAATGCTCTTTCTGATGTCACTTGTTTACAACTTTTCAATCAACCATTAAATTCAATTGTATATAGAGTTGTTATTATAAATATACAGTATGTTGTGATAATAATATTATAATTTAATTTAAATAATCAAAAGACTTCAGTCTGTTGTGAACTGTGGTAAAAAGTTTTAAATTTCATTTATACTACTAATAAAAGTTATAAGTAGATTAACAAATATAGCTCAAATGAGTGAACTGAGGTACTATAAGAAATCATGCTTTTTTTGTGGTCAAATTCAAATTGACTAATATCTGTCTTGAGTACCAAAACTCTGAAGTACGGCACAACAAATCTATTTAACAATGTTGGGGAACTACACATCAAAGTACCTTACTAGTTATGGTTCTGTCAGTGAGTATTGAAGACATCACTTGAAGCCATTTATCGTCCAGATAAAGAGATAGAGGAGATAGAGGAGACTGCAGTCAACTGACAGTGAATGAGCTGTGCATTCTAGTCAGTGAAACATGACTACAGTTGGATGTAACTGATTCTGTTCTGTGAGCTCTGTCTTTTTGTCTTCGCTTCTGTCCGTCTCTCTGTCTGTCATTCCCACTATCCGCTCAACCACATGCTTGTCTATCTCTCTATCTGCTCTCTGTCTATCTACCTACCCGTCCGTTTGTCTTCATGCTTTCTCGATCACTCCTTCTCCACACAATCTACCAGCAATTCGTTGCCCTTCTCCTTTTTCACTCTACACGATCTTGCATACATTCTGTGCAAATGAACACCAGGAAACTACACACAATCACATCAACCAACCGATGATCACAACTAAGCATTGATTCACGCATTTCTCGGTCGATCAATCAACTCTCAGTGTACCACAAAGTACATCCGCAAAGGGCATCTCACATAAAACAGAGGAGACTGCAGTCAACTGATAGTGAATGAGCTGTGCATTCTAGTCAGTGAAACATGTCTGCAGTTGGATGTAAGTGATTTTGTTCGGTGAGCTATATGACGTTAGTCAGGAACAGAATATCTGGTAGCAGAAAAACAAGAGCATCAAACAGTAAAGAATGGAACAGATTGTAATTTATATGGAAATACAAAAACAATAAAGTGTGGGCCATTTTGAGACAACTGATGGTCGTTTTACAAATTGAGCATTTACTATACTGGTTGTTAGAATTTATTAACGGGTTCTGTAATTTGTTGTGAAATACATTCGATTGTTCCCCACTGGTGTTCTTGTTCACTACAATTTGACTATTGGTGTTACAGTCTACTGAATTAGGTTTTATCACAAAATATCACGTCGTAAACCAAGATTTGAATTCTCTTTACTAAGTTTATTAGTATCCAAACAACTTTTATTATTATTATATTGTTCATTTTGTTTGTTGTGTTTTACACTTTGATAGCGACCATTTTACGCCGGTTTTTCGACCCAGTTAATAAAGTTATTCGGCCATTACCTTTTCTGTTAGATGACATGGTTTCTGTTTCTGTGAATGATAATTCATTATGCTTTTTCTTAGGCTTTGAGAAGCAAACATTTAAAACAGAAAGTGATAAGTGTGATAACGCCAAAATAATCTTAACCAACTAATCTTAGACAATTTTTCTTATGGAGTATCTTCCTGCTGAGGAGTTGCACACTAAGATGAAACAGTCGTTTAGTGCTTCCAGGTTTCCCATGATGATCTAGCTTCAATTGACCCATGATCTCAACTATTGAAATTAGTATAATATCCACAAAAAACCCCTTCTGATAATAATTAAAATGTTTAATCTCTGTTAAGGAGGATACTTTCGATGAATCCTTTAGATTATAGGTAGAATACTGAAAATTTTAGGCCTACTTGAAATTCATCAAAAAGCAAATTGAATTTCGGTACAAATTTTAGTGATTTGGTATCATTATGTATTATACTTAGAGTCTGGTATTCTGAATCATATTACCCTGATTATTTAGTTTCCTTAGCAATGAGAACACTGTCATTCTAATACTGAGGTAAAAAGGGGGGGTACTGTAAGGAATCATTAATTTATCATCATTATAGAAAGCACGTTTCGTGACTTCATTGATCAAACAGACCAAAGAAATTAGTTGGCGTGTATAACTTGAAGACTAGAAGTTTTTAAAGATGAAATTTTAAGGGGTTAATGTGCTAAAATTATACTTCCTTTATATGACTGATCAATCACTGAGCAGTGATGATGACGCCCGTAACTATGAAGCTAAGTGAAACAGGATCAACACCAATGGAGAGAAATAGTTTTTTTTCAAGATTATATGGGTATATCTTGTTGATGAGTTTCAAACAGCACGAAACCCAGGACTGGGGTTTCTGTCAACTACCTCCAACCACCACCCTAAATATACTCTTAGCTTTATTTATTTAAAGAAGATTGAAAGAAAGATGCAAAAATAAAGGGTGAGGAGGATAAATGAGTTTTGATTGCAAAGGTTCTATGACAATTAATTTTCCACTTTTTTAAACCATCCTCAGGTACTCCAATTAAACTTCCGTTGGAAGGTTCGACTTACGGAGTAGGGTTTTAAAATGACAGTGTACAGAATTAGAAGTAAATAAAACAGATGTCGATCATCAGGATACTCGTTTCCTCACCTAGTAGATAGACTCATATTGTTGGTGTGTAAAATATGATACGACTGTTTATTCATTTATCTGAATCAGGAAAAGTTTCGTGAGCAATTATTAACTAGGTTTACAGTGCTGACAGTTAAGATATAATGAGTTAATTGTTGATCATGGAATAATAATCACAGGTTTTAAATGAAATAACTCAATCGTAATTTATTCACTATGAGAGATTTACCTTTTAATGGTTAACTAATAATAAGCATTTTAAACTAGAATACAAACTAAGAAGTGATAATTGTTAGTTTCTGAAAACAATTTCACAAATTCCATTGAGATCTAATACATATATATATATATAACTCCGCCTGGAGTCCCTCCGGGGGCTACTGCCGGAGAAAGTGATATATGGATTTGATTCACAGTCAACCACGGTGATCTAGGCTACTTCAATTAACTCATGAATTCAACTATTTAAAGAAGAAACGTAATATATATATGTTGATAGATAGCTTTATATTGCCTAGATTTTATTGATTTATCTCATATAGTTCACAAGTCAACTTATGTAACATTACCAATTAAAATAGAAAATAATGAAATTGTGAAAAAGTTTCATTATGAAGTGAGTTCTATTCATAGACATATTAAGTGATCAATAATTTCACTGATTGAAATCATTAGTTAATTGAAGCTATACCACCATGGGAAACCTGGAAGCACTGGACGGCTGTTTCGTCCTAGTATGAGACCCCTCAGCAGTGCTCGTCCACGATCCAGCACCCCGCGGGATTCGAACCCAGGGCCTATCAGTCTCGCGCGCAAGTGCTTAACCATTAGACCACTGAGCCAGCATCCGACGGTGTTAATGTCTAACTTCAACCAATCCACGAAATCGCGTCACTGTCACCATTGTCTTCAGTGAGTTACTATCTTACAACAGACCTGGTTGACCGTGACCAGTGGAGTCCACTTGATTTGTTTTTGGGCTGTATTACTGCAAAGATGCTCAGACCGAGGCAGGTGGTTTATTAAGGGGGTCATACCCGGATCCATCAACCTAAAGGTCTAATACACAAGGCAGTGGAGCAAAGTCAAGAGATGCAGTCTCATTGTTGCGGGTGACGAAACATGAGATTGATACGCCTTTGATTCCTTAGGATCCTAGAGTTCATGTGCACGACTGGTTTGAAATCAGGGTTTCCCAACTCTCCTAGGTGGATCCTCAATATCCACCAACCCAGTTAAAGTGCCGATCATTCGCTTTTCGTCCTCTCAATTTCGTAAACAATACCCCCGTCATGAGAAGGCAGAAAATAGGACTTCCCTGGCAGTGGTTGTATGCACGTGGCCATGTGCGAGCATTTCGACAGGGAGAGCGAACTATTCATACTCTCGGCAGTACTGGGGCATTTGGGGGCAAATAATACAGAATTTACACCTAATGTGAATTCTATATGAAATATACTTCATTCACTATGATTTACCTCGAAATCAATGAAGCGAAGTTTATTTCGA